GAATACAGAAACAAAATAATCTCTGAAAAGACTTAAGAGCAGACCAGAGGAGGTGCCAGGGGCCGTTAATGGAATAGAAATCAGAGAACAGGAACACAGAGAAGCTGAGGCAGAGAGAGATAAAAGGATCTCCTGGAATGAAAGAATATTAAGAGAACTGTGTGACCAATCCAAATGGAATAATATTCGCATTATAGGGGTACCAGGAGAAGAAGAGAGAGAAAAAGGGATAGAAAGTGTCTTTGAAGAAATAATTGCTGAAAACTTCAACAAACTGGGGGAGGAAATAGTCTCTCAGACCATGGAAGCACACAGAACTCCCAACACAGTGGACCCAAGGAGGACACCACCAAGACACATAATAATTAAAATGGCAAAGATCAACTACAAGGACAGAGTATTAAAGGCAGCCAGAGAGAGAAAAGATCACCTACAAAGGAAAACCCATCAGGCTATCATCAGACTTATCAACAGAAACCTTACAGGCCAGAAGAGAATGGCATAATATATTTAATGCAATGAAACAGAAGGGCCTTGAACAAAGAACACTATATCCAGTACAATAATCATTTAAATATGAAGGAGGGATTAAATAATTCCCAGACAAGCAAAAGTTGAGGGAATTTGCCTTTCACAAACCACTTCTACAGGATATTTTAAAGGGACTGTTCTGTATGGAAGCATTCCTAAGGCTAAATAGATGTCACCAGAGAAAATAAAATCACAGCAAAGAAAGCAGACCAACCAAATACTAACTAAAGGCAAAAAATAAAATCAGCTACTCACATAAGCAGTCAAAGGAAACACAAAAGAGCACAGAATAAAACACCTAACGTATAAAGAATGGAGGGGAGAGAATAAGAAGGGAGAGAAATAAAAAATCATCAGACTGTGCTTATAATAGCTTAATAAGCTTGTTAAGTTAGATGGTTAGATAGTAAAGAAGCCTGCAATGGCAATAAGTACATATCTTTCAATAATCACCTGAAATGTAAATGGACTGAATGCACCAATCAAAAGACATGGAGTAACAGAATGGATGAAAAAACAAGACCTGTCTATATGCTGCTTACAAGAGACTCACCTCAAACCCAAAGACATGCACAGACTAAAAGTGAAGGGATGGAAAAAGTTATTTCATGCAAACAACAAGGAGAAAAATGCAGGTGCTGCAGTACTAGTATCAGACAAAATAGACTTCAAAACAAAGAAAGTAACAAGAAATAAAGAAGGACATTACATAATGATAAAGGGGTCAGTCCAACAAGAGGATATAACCATTATAAATATATATGCACCCAATACAGGAGCACCAACATATGTGAAACAAATACTAACAGAATTAAAGGAGGAAATTGAATGTTATGCATTCATTTTAGGAGACTTCAACACACCACTCACTCCAAAGGACAGATCACCAAACAGAAAGTAAGTAAGGACACAGAGACACTGAACAACACACTAGAACAGATGGACCTAATAGACATCTACAGAACTCAACACCCAAAAGCAACAGGATGCACATTCTTCTCAAGTGCACATGGAACATTTTCCAGAATAGACCACATACTAGGCCACAAAAAGATTGAAATTCTACCAACCAACTTCTCAGATCACAAAGGGATAAAACTAGAAATAAATTGTATGAAGAAAGCTAAAAGGCTCACAAACACATGGAGGCTTAACAACATGTTCCTAAATAATCAATGGATCAATGACCAAATTAAAATAGAGATCAAGCAATATATGGAGACAAATGACAATAACAGTACAAAGCCCCAACTTCTGTGGGACCCAGCGAAAGCAGTTCTAAGAGGAAAGTACATAGCAATCCAGGTCTATTTAAAGAAGGAAGAACAATCCCAAATGAATATCTAAAGTCACAATTATTGAAATTGGAAAAAGAAGAACAAATGAGGCCTAAAATCAGCAGTAGGAGGGACATAATGAAGATCAGAGAAGAAATAAATAAAATGGAGAAGAATAAAACAATAGAAAAAATCAATGAAGCCAAGAGCTGGTTCTTTGAGAAAATAAACAAAATAGATAAACCACTAGCCAGACTTATTAAGGGAAAAAGAGAATCTACACACATCAACAGAATCAGAAACGAGAAAGGAAAAATCATGACACAGAAATACAAAGAATCTTTTGAGAATACTATGAGAATTTATATTCTAACAAGCTGGAAAACCTAGAAGAAATGGAAAACTTCCTAGAAAAACACAACCTTGCAAGACTGACCAAGGAAGAAACAGCAAATCTAAACAGACCAATTACCAGTAATGAAATTGAAGTGGTAATAAAAAAAGCTACCAAAGAGCAAAACCCCCTGGCCAGATGGATTTACCATGGAATTTTATCAGACATACAGAGAAGACATAATACCCATTCTCCTTAAAGTTTTCCAAAAAATAGAAAAGGAGGGAATACTTCCAGACTCATTCTATGAAGCCAGCATCACACTAATACCAAAACCAGGCAAAGATCCCACCAAAAAAGAAAATTACCAACCAATATCCCTGATGAACATAGATGCAAAAATACTCAACAAAATATTAGCACAGTGAATTCAAAAATAAGTCAAAGGATCACACACCATGACCAAGTGGGATTCATCCCAGGGATGCAAGGATGGTACAACATTTGAAAATCCATCAACATCATCCACCACATCAACAAAAAGGACAAAAACCACATGATCATCTCCATAGATGCTGAAAAAGCATTCAACAAAATTCAACATCTATTCATGATAATAACTATCAACAAAATGGATATAGAGGGCACATACCTCAACATAATAAAGGCCATATATGATAAACCCACAGCCAACATCATACTGAACAGCAAGAAGCTGAAAGCTTTTCCTCTAAGATCAGGAACAAGACAGGGATGCCCACTCTCCCCACTGTTATTCAACATAGTACTAGAGGTCCTAGCCACAGCAATCAGACAAAACAAATACAAGCAATCCAGATTGGTAAGGAAAAACTCAAATTGTCACTATTTGCAGATGACGTGATATTGTACATAAAAAACCCTGAAGACTCCACTCCAAAACTACTAGAACTGATATTGGAATACAGCAAAGTTGCAGGATACAAAATTAACACACAGAAATCTGTGGCTTTCCTATACACCAACAATGAACCAATAGAAAGAGAAATCAGGAAAACAATTCCATTCATAATTGCATCAAAAAGAATAAAATACCTAGGAATAAACCTAACCAAAGAAGTGAAAACTACAAGACACTCTTAAGAGAAATTAAAGAGGACACTAACAAATGGAAACTCAGCCCAGGCTCTTGGCTACGAAGTATTAATATTGTCAAAATGGCCATCCTGACCAAAGCAATCTACAGATTCAAAGCAATCCTTATCAAATTACCAACAGTATTCTTCAATGAACTGAAACAAACAGTTCTAAAATTCATATGGAACCACCAAAGACCCTGAATAGCCAAAGCAATCCTGAGAAGGAAGAATAAAGTGGGGGGATCTCACTCCCAACTTCAAGCTCTACTACAAAGCCACAGTAATCAAGACAATTTGGTACTGGTACAAGAACAGAGCCACAGACCAGCAGAACAGAACAGAGACTCCAGACATTAACCCAAACATATATGGCCAATTAATATATGATAAAGGAGCCATGAACATACAATGGGGAAATGACAGCCTCTTCAACAGTTGGTGTTGGCAAAACTAGACAGATACATGTAAGAGAATGAAACTGGATCACTGTCTAACCCCATACACAAAAGTAAAGTCAAAATGGATCAAAGACCTGAATGTATGTCATGCTACCATAAAACTCCTAGAAAAAACATAGGCAAAAATCTCTTGGACATAAACATGAGCGACTTCTTCATGAACATATCTCCCTGGGCAAGGGAAACAAAAGCAAAAATGAACAAGTGGGACTGTATCAAGCTGAAAAGCTTCTGTACAGCAAAGGACACCACCAGTAGAACACAAAGGCATCCTACAGTATGGGAGAATATATTCATAAATGACATATCTGATAAAGGGTTGACATCCAAAATATATAAAGAGCTCACACACCTCAACAAACAAAAAGCAAATAATCCAATTAAAAAAATGGTCAGAGGAGCTGAACAGACACTTCTCCAAAGAAGAAATTCAGATGGCCAACAGACACATGAAAAGATGCTCCACATCACTAGTTATCAGAGAAATGCAAATTAAAACCACAATGAGATGTCACCTCACACCAGTTAGGATCGCCACCATCCAAAAGGCAAACAACAACACAAGTTGTCGAGGTTGTGGAGAAAGGGGAATCCTCCTACACTGCTGGTGGGAATGTAAATTAGTTCAATCATTGTGGAAAGCAGTATGGAAGTTCCTGAAAAAGCTCAAAATAGACATACCATTTGACCCAGGAATTCCACTTCTAGGAATTTACTCTAAGAATACAGCAGCCCAATTTGAAAAAGACAGATGCACCCCTATGTTTATTGCAGCACTATTTTCAATAGCCAAGAAATGGAAGCAACCTAAATGTCCATCAGTAGATGAATGGATAAAGAAGATGTGGTACATATACACAATGGAATATTATTCAGCCATAAGAAGAAAACAAATGCTACCATTTGCAACAACATGGATGGAGCTAGAGGGTATTATGCTCAGTGAAATAAGCCAGGTGGAGAAATACACATATCAAATGATTTTACTCATCTGTGGAGTATAAGAACAAAGAAAAAACTGAAGGAACAAAACAGCAGCAGAATCACAGAACCCACGAAAGGACTAAAAGTTACCAAAGGGAAAGGGACTAGGGAAGGTGGGTGGGAAGGGAGGGATTAGGTGGGGAACGAAAGGGGGCATTATGATTAGCATGTATAATGTGGGGGGCATGGGGAGAGCTGTACAACACAGAGAAGACATGTAGTGATTCTATAGCATCTTACTACACAGATGGACAGTGACTGTAATGGGGTTTGTCACGTGGGACTTGGTGATGGTGGGAGTCTAGTAAACATAATGTTCCTTATGTAATTGTAGATTAATGATACCAAAAAAAAAATCTAGACAGAGACTGGACGAGGGTGAGCTGGAGAAGCGGAGGGACGCAGCCTCCACCAGGGTGGGTGGGGCACACGCACCCTCTGAGAGCATGCGCCTCCTGCGGTGTGTGCACCATGGCCACTCCCTGGCCTGATTAATTTGTTTTCTGTTGCCGAATAACAAACACCAGGAGCTTAGTGGCTTAAAAGTACACATTTACTACCTCACAGTTTCTGGGGGTCAGTAGTCCACCAAATTTTTGCCAGGTTCTCTGCTCCAGGTCTTGCCAGGCTGAACTCAGTGTCAGCCATGGCTACATCTCATCTGTAGCTCCTCCTAAGCTCATTCAAGTTATGGGCAGAAAGCATTCCTTGCGGTTGAACAACTAGGTCTCCAGGGACTTCAGGGTCTTCCTAGAGGCCCCCTTTCCTACAGGCAGTTCATAGTATGGCTGTTTACTTTTTTGCCAGCAGGAATATCTCAGCTGTGTCATCTTCATTGAAAGACTCTCATAATAAAGTCAGGCCCACCCAGGACATTCCGTTTTGATTAACTCAAGGTTGACTGACTGGTGACCTTATCACAGCAGTGATATTCCACCATATTCAGAGGTCCCACCCATACTCAAGGGTGGGCTAAATGCTATAGGGGTGGAAATTTGGGAGACCATCTTAAAATTCTGCCCATCATACCTCACCCTAATTGAGGTCCCACTCTTAAATATATGTAAAGATGCTCAATGTCACCTCTAAATACCATTGTCCAACCAGGAATCACTCTTTTCTAGCTGGATGCACCATCTGTGAAATGGGGAGGAATGCAGCTCCTATCCTGGGTCTGTTGCAGGACTTAAATGAGGTCCTGTGTTAAATGAGGTTTGTATCAGGCAGACAGGTGTAGGCACATCATAGAGGGCAGCTACTCTTAGATTTAGTGTCTCTGGCTGGAAGCCAGAGGTGTCCCATATGGCAACAGATCTGGGCTCCTCATTAACTGATGGAACACCTGATGTCCTAGGGAGACTGAGCCAGAGGAGGAACACATGGACTGAAGCCATAAATTTTGACTCAAAATAAGGAATGCACACAAGTTCACAAATGACTGAAAGGGATTTCCCAGGAAGAGAATGAATAAATACCACCCAGAAGAGACTCAAGAAATTATTTTTCCAGAGTCAGTTAAGTACAGTAAAGAGTGCCAACGCCATGTACTCTCGGGCCAGACTGACCTGGATTACATCCCAGCAGAGACACTTAAGGCTGTGCCCATGGGCGCGTCCTTAGACCTCAGTTTCCTCATCTGTAGAATGGACCTGAGTACTGTCTGCTTTCTATGGCTGTTAGGCATTAACACATGCAAAATGCTGGAACAATGCCTGATGTGGAGGAGGTCAGACAATGTTAGATATTGTCACCTGTCCTGAAAGTTCATTCCTACCAGAAGACAAGGGCTCAGCAAGTGGTTGCCATGTTGTTTTCTACCTCTGTGATTTTATTGAGACCCCTAACAAAATGTAGAAAGTCTTGAGATTCTTTTTGATCTAGAGGAAGTGGTACTTAAGGAATCAGAACACAGCAACACCTGGACAGGAGGTCATACAGAGACCCAGAAAGTTCATACACTCATTTGCTCATATATTCATTTTCTCATCCATTCATTTGCTCATTCATTCATTCACGCATCCATTCATTTGCTCATTCATTCACTCACGCATCTATTCATTTGCTCATTCATTCACTCATGCATCCATCCGAGTAAGACCAGTTTCTCACTGATCCAGTCAGGAGCGATGGGCTCTCTGTTGGTTTTACTCCTTCCTATGACACAGCAGCAGGTGGGGTGGGAGGGCACCCACTCACTGTCAGTACTTCACCTTTCTTAAAGAAACCAGTTCGTTAATTGAGAGCGCTGCACTGATTGTACTGGGCTGCCATAATGCCGACGTTTCTGACTTGTCATTCATTCTGAGGAGCAGATGCCATTAGTATCCCACCACAACCTCCTGGTGTTTGGCTGGCCAGCACGGGGCAGGCGGGGTTGGTGGGGCAGGCTGCAGCACCAGGATCTCACCACCCTCACAAGCAGTCTCAGCCAATGACAACTGGGGGTTAGTGGGTTAGCAGCCCAGCTGCTTTGCCCTTGGATGAGATAATCTGATGCATGTTCTACACACTCCCTCAAAGGTCTTAGCAGGATTGAGCCCCAGCAGCCCACAGCAGTGTCTGGAAACCATATAGAGTGTATGCGGGTGTATGGTTCATGTGAATCGTGTGCACACATATGTGTGACTATGGCACGTGTGGTCATATAAAGTTCATAAGTGTACTGTGTTTGGGGCGTGTAGCTGATTTGGATATTGTCCAACAAATATTTGCTTCTCTTCCCCTTCCTCTCTGGGCAGAGCCTACTTTCCATTCCTTACATTGGGCTTTGCCATTGACTCACTCTGGCAATAGAATACTAGCAGAAGTGACACTGGCAGAGGCCTGAGACGTGCAGCTCAGCTGAGCTCTTGGGTGCCCTCCATTCCCTATGAGGAGAGTTTGTACAGTAGTGTTGTCCCCAGCCCAGGCTCCACTGTCCAGTGGGTAATGAAAAGCAGACCTGAACCAACCCACTGCTGGGAGCCAAGCTCAGTTCAGCCCAGCTGAACCACAAACCTTGGAGCAAGACATAAGGAGCTGGTATTCTAAGCTTTTATGAAAGAGTTTGGAGAGGTGTGTTATGCAGCATTATTATAGCAATCACTAACACAGAGTGTTATATGGGATTTGCAATGCATGGGGTATGATCTATTGGGAGCACAATAAATGTGTATGTGTGCAGTGTTTGTATATTTTGTGTCTGGGTAAATGGTGTGCACATGTGTGTGACTATGCTGTGATACACAACACAAAAACAAGGGTTTATACTGGATAAAACAAAACAAACAAGCAAGCATGCCACAGAGAAGCTGCAAGTGGAAACCACACCCAGGCCCCAGGCAGGAGGCACCTTGGGTTCCGGGGCTGGGAAACCCACATTCTGAAGCCCTGCCTCTCTCCAACTTGCCAGTGGCTTCTAGGAAGGCAGCATCAGCCAGACAAGGGTGTTTGACTTGACTGATGTTCAGCAAACCAGGGAAGAGGTGGCTTTGGAAGGATCCCACACTACAACTCCAGAAGATGGACAGAGGGGCTCTGTCTGGGGCTTTGCAAGGAGGTGCTTCTGATCACAAGGTCTCGGGGCATCCTCACAGGTCCCTTTTTCCTGCCATCATTCATGACCAGCTTAATGGTGGCTCTGTGATAAAGAGGGCAGGCTCTGGAGTCAGACCACCTAGGCAGTGTCTTGGCTCCAGCAGCCAACCTTGGGCAAGTAACTTAACCTCTCTGAGCCTCAATTTCTCAACTTTAAAATAGGGATAAATGAAGTGTATCACTTATAAAGTTGCTGTGAGGATTGCATGAGTCAATTCCTATAAAGCACTGGGACAGTGCCTGCTTATTACTAAGTGTACACCACCTACCAGGCACCATATTAAGTACATTACACAAATGAGCTGCATGCAGAAACCACACAAGGGCAGTGTTATCACTGACATAGGCTAGGCTCCCCCAGAGACAGACCTTAAGACAAAGATTCAAGGGGAAGCAGTTTATTTGTGAGCTAATCCAAAAACACAAGCAGGGATCAGGGAAGTAAACAGGTGGGTAATGGAGACTTAGTCCTGGCAGGGACTCTGAGAGACACAGAGCACAGGCATTAAGGAGCCACCCCAGCCAGGGAGCTGAGCCTTTTACCACCAGCTCCTATCAGTCACTGCAGGCTGTTCCTGGAAGTAGCATGACCAGCCTTCCCTGTTTGCCCAGGACTATAAGTCTTGTGGTCTGGGAAGCCCCTCCATTCCAACCAGATGTCTGGTCCCACTATCTGGATTGCATTAATTCCTAAGCACCCAGCCTGTCGCACACAGGGCAGGGCAGACTCAGGGCCCAGTGCAAACCTGCAGATGCATGTGCTGGCAATTAGGAGCTGCTGCACATTAAATGGGGATGATGTAAGGACACCCAGCCCCATGGTGTGAGAGCAATGAAGCTCAAGCAAAGTAACCTGCTCAGTTTCATACAGTGGGGAGCAGCCTGGGGCAAGGGGTTCAAGCCCAGGTACATCTGATGCTGAAGCCCATGAGGATCACAAGGCTCCATCTCCTCTTTCCACAAAGCAGCCACGGAGACACAGAGCAGGGAAGCTGGAAGCACCACAGGAGACCAGCTGGGCCCGTGACTGGAAACAAACAGCCACACACTGACACGAACCAGACACATGTCAGACAATAAGGAGGCAGGCCTGTGGCCAAACAGAGAGCACTGTAGCCTCTGAAGGGGCAGCGGGCACTCAGCTCAGGCTGCTTACCACACACGGGAATGGAGGCCTAGTCAATGTTTCAAAGGAGGCCGGATTTTATGGGGAATCTCCAAAGTATTACATATTGTCTACGAATTTCTAAAACATATTGTGAAACAACCACATGTGGAGCAAATAATGGTATATCAGCCCCTGGCCGCTGGTTGTGGTCCTGAATCTTGTCCTACAGCTCATCCACTCACCCTAGTAGATGAATCTAAGGGCTAGCACACCACTGGATTAAGAAAAAGGCAGAAAAAATAACAGAAACAGGTGTTGGTGGTCAAAAGACAAGGACTCAGGGGAGACAGCCACCACCCATCCTCATTAACCCTGAATTTCCCCTCTCTGCTACTCTCCACCCTGCTGCCCACGCCCAACCCCACCTACCTGCAGCAGGAAGTCAAAGAGTGCCAGACGTGCCCACTCGGTGTGCTGGATACCTAGGCCTGGGGCCTGGCCCAGCCAGCTGCAGCCACGGGCCAGCAGGGCCTGGTACTGCAGCCAGCCCAAGGCCAGAGAGTTCTGGTCATCCTCCGGGTCACCCAGGTGCCGCACATCGGGTGCCCACCAGATGACAGGCCTTGCGCTGCCATCTGTGTAGCGGTAGGGCAGCAGGGAGCTGTGGAAGCTCCGGGCCACCGCAGGTAGGCTCCGGTGAAGCCCCAGCACACGGTCCACATGGAAGGACAAGACCTCGGACAGGTCCCCAGGCCTCTTGATCAGACCACAGAGCCCCTGGGAGCAGAGCTGGCTGAGCCCAGGAGACACGTCCTGAAGGGCACCCTCCGCAGAGAAGCTGACTTGCAGCACCTGCCCATGGCCGGGGACCCTGGCTTTGCCTACTACCTCCCCATGTGCCAACAGCCGGAGGGTCTGCATGTCCTGCTCTGTGAGCCATGGGGGAACCTGCCCAACAATCCTCAGGCTGGTCGACAGCCCAGGGGTCTCAGCTTCACACCAGATGGATCCTTGCAGCTCCGCAACAGAGCCAGGCCATTGACGAGTCCCTGCAGCTGGAGTGGGACTTCCTGCTTGTCGCCTACCTGTGAAGTCCCTGTTCCCAGCTCCTGACAGATCCCTGCCTTCCACTGGATAGGCCCAAGTGGTCTGTCCAGCAGTAGATCTCCAAGCCTGTAAAGCTGCCATGTCACTCCCTGCTAGGGGGTTGACCAGGGTGCTGGTCCCATTCTGTACCTCCCTAGTGAGACTGCCGTGCCAGGGGGGATCCAGGGCTTTGGCTCCAGGGCTCCTGACCTCCTCCTCCCTCAGGAGCACATGACGCCAGGTACTGAGTTGCAAATCTCTTAGAGACGCCAGAGTAATATCCCTCCTGCCCCTTCTTGGATGTCTGCCATCTCCTCCTGGGGACTGCCTGCTTCTGCCCACTCTCCCTCCATGGCCTTGCTCCTCTGTGCACACCAGGATGGAATTCCTGGGCAGGTTTCTTGCCTGCTGCCTGCGGCCGGGGCTCAGAGCCTGCTGGCTGTGGGGACTGGGGGCGCTGGTTATCCCCGGGGGCTCCTTGGGACCAGGGTCCAGGCTGTTGGCTGGATGCTGTGCAAGGAAGCAGGTGACAGCCACCACGGACAGAGTCATCAGGACGCCAAATGCCATCACCCACCACCTCTTGCCACGCAGCCTTCTCCAGAGCCACGACGCCTGGAGGATGAGATAGGAGAAGAAAGTCTGAGACCTGGGAAGTGCTAGCCCCAGCCCATGGAACAGTGCGGACAATGATGAAGAAGCATCTCGGGTGGATGAAGAGAGGAAAGAGCAGAGTGGACAGAGTAACACAAGAGAAGATGAGGCAGCCGCAGCCTGTGGCTCCCCTGCCTCATGGCTGAGCCTGCTTTGCCTTCTGGGGAAGCTTTCGCTGATGTCTGCAGGCAGGTATGGGCTTCTCCCCCTCCAATAAGCTGCCATGCACCTCTGCCCTCTGAGCCCCGTCAGGGGTTCTTTCCATACTGGTCCCCCTCTTCATTTCCACGAGATCCCGGGCCCACTCTGGCAGACCATAGCTGCCTCCCAAAGCCACTCCTCCTTTCCTGGGCACGTGGTGCCCAGCCTCCCTTGCAGCCAGGCATGGCCACGGACTACATCCTGGCCCATGGCACAATTTGCCATACCCACTTGCTCAAAAGGAAGTTGGCTGCCCTGGCCTTTCTCGGTACCCAGGTGTGGAGGCACCAGCTCAGCATGTGTTGGCAAGGACAGTCTGGTGCAGTGATTTTTAAACATGCTGTCCTGGACCAGCTGCACCGCGTCACCTGGGAACTTGTCAGGAAGGCACATTCTCAGGCACCACCCAGAACTACCCGGGTCTACAAATAGGGGCCCAGCACCTGTATTTTAACAAGCTCTCCAGGTGACTGATGGTCAGGCCTGTGGAGCCACGGGAAGGGGCTTAGGAGCCTGCACGACCACATGGGAGCAGAGTGGCCCAGAGCTGCTTAAGCCACTGTACTGTGGAGTCCCCGTTTCTGTGAGCCGGAAGCGCTGTCTCCACCCCTCAGCACACCAAGCAGCTGTCCAGGCACCTGACCCCTGACCAAAGCTGGTGGGGCTGCTCTGGATCCTGATCCACACTGGGCCAAATAGTTCCTCAGTCCTGGGAACATGGGCTTGTGACATGTTAGGAAGTCTGGTTGGCATGTTCTGCTCATGAATGAGAAGGGCATATGGCTGCCTGGCTGAAGACGACAGCAGCGGGCCTTGAGTCAGTCGCACAGAGAAAATAGAAAGTTGCCGGCAAACCGGAAACAGAAACAGGAGGGGGTGCCTTGCCCACTTCCTGAAACTTCTGGTTCAGGCTCCGAGCCTGACCCCGGGGTCCTGCGGCCGCTGGCTGGGGCTGTGAGCCTGTGCAGCACCCACGCAGAAGCCCGCTGCGCCTCCACTGGAGGTGGGGACCCAGGCTGCTCCTGGGCGGGAGACCAGCAGGCCCGACGGGAGATCTGCACTCCCTCCCCCGGAGGTAAAGGGAGCCTCCTCACTCTCCCTCAGTCCCCACTCAGTCAGCCCTTCCCTCCGGTCACGTGGCCTGGAGGAGTGGGCCCTGCCCACGTTTTCTCATTTCTCTGTGCTTTCAGCCTCTTTTTGGGCCAGTGGCAGTTTCCATAGGAACCAAACATTTCTCTCCTCAGCCTATTGCACACCAGCAGAGAATCAGAAGGAAGAGGCAGGACCCAGTTACAGCCCAGCCCTGAAAATTGCCCCAACCCAGCCCCTCCCTCCCCCTTCTCCTTATTTCCTCCAGTCCCTCCACCCTGGCTCTTCCTCTGTCCCGCCTCCCCCACCCATTCTCTCTCTCCAAGCATCTCTGGTCCTGGTGCAATAGTCTTTTGTTCTGGTGTGCCAGTGTGTGGTAGAAAGAGCCCCGGAGAAGGAGTCAGCAGGCTGCAGGCGCCCGGGTTACTCAGTCTCCAGACTAGCTTCCTCATCGTCATGGGGTTGGGTTGGACGAAACAAGCTTTAAGGCCTCATTTGCCCCAATATCCAGTGATTCTAGCTCTTGGTGAATAGTTGGGTGGACTGATCCATCGGTGCGCTCTCCTGGGCCTCCGCTTACCCCTCCTGCTCATGATGATTTGATATACAAATACATTGTGAAATGATCACCACAATCAAGTTATTTGACACATCCATCACTTCAAATAATTAGCTTTTTTTGTCTGTGTATGGTGACACAGAGAGTGGTATCTCTGCAATTTCAAGTGTATAATACAGTATTTTTAACTAGAGTCACCACACTGTACATTAGATCCTCAGTACTTATTCATCTTAAAACTGGAAGTTTATGCCCTTTGAGCAACATCTCCCTATTCCCCATCCCATCCCCTAGCCTCTGGCAACCACCATTATATTCTCTTTTTCTATGAGTTTAGCTTTCTTTAAAAAAGATTTTCTATACAAGTCATACCGTACAGTATTTGTCTTTCTCTGTCTGACTTATTTTACTTAGCATAATGTCCTCCAGGGCCATCCATGTTGTAACAAATGGCAGGGTTTCCTTTTTGTATGGCTGAATATTTCATTGCATATATATATATACACACACACACACACACTTTCATTATCTCTTCATCTGTCAATTAGGTTGTTTGCATATTTTGGCTGCTTCGATTGGTGCTGCAGTAAACATAGCAGGGTAGAGATATCCCTTCAAGATACTGATTTTATTTTCCTTCAGATATATACTCAGAAGTGGGATTGCTGGGTTATATGATAGTTCTAGTTTTTAATAGTTTTTAGTTTTTTGAGGTTCTCTCCACATCCTCACCAGCATTTGTTATTGCTTGTCTTTATGGTAACAGCCATTCCAGTGCACGTGAGGTCACCTTTCTTTTCTTTGAAGACCAGCTTTGTTCCTACAATACATCTCAGTGTTGGCTGTTTTGGGTCGGTTTTTCTTAAAGTGCAATATGCCTTGTTAGAAAAGGTAGATTTAAATACTTAATTTCATCAAAGTTTGCTTGGACTAAACATTAAATTTTTTTTCCATTCCACTATTTTATTTTCTTCTCCAGGCTCTTCAATTATGTATCTGTTGGATTTCCTTTTTCTGCCTTATGTGTCTTTCATCTTCTCTGTAATCCTTTCTATTTTCATTTCATTTTATTCACTTTTCTTATTTCTATATTCTGTCTGGCTTATTGTGTTTAACCCAATAATCTTTCACCCTTGTGTACTTTCTCAATTTTACCTAATTTCTGTTAATTTTGACTTTTCCCTATTTCTTTCCAGCTCATATTTCACTTCTTGTGATCATACATTTTTTTCCTGAGTCCTTACATTTCTCTTTTGTGGTGTTTCTTCCTAGAGGGTATTTTTTCATCTAAGTTTAAACAACTCATTGTGAAATGCCAGCTCAAAATCTTCACCTGTTTCAGGGTGACATTCTCAGGGGATCGGCCCTCATCCATTCATGAACTTGCTGCTCTGTCTCCTTTATTCTTACAGTGGCTCTGTATGGGTGCTGAGCTCTTAAGAGTTGGACCAGTCCACAGAAAGAGGTTCCTAGAGGGGGGCAGGTTGGATCTGAAATCAGCCGGCTTTCCTAAGGCAGATGCTGCTGCTTCTCATCTGCCGCACAGCCAGGCTGCTCCCTGCAAGTCTGGCTTCTGAGCATGGTCCTTCATGCATCAGCCCCTGGAGGAGAGGCGGCTCCCCCACCACAGTTAGCCTTCTAGGAGTCAGACGGGGAGGGTGGGATCACTAGGTCACTTAGGGGGTCTCTGCTTTATCACTTACTCACCATCTCCCCAACCTCCAAACATGTCCCTCCTATTTCCAATCTGCTGAAAGGCAGTACCATCTACCCAGATACCCACAGCAGAAATCTGGACCTAATCTCCATTCCACCCTTTCCTCTGTCCCATACATCCAAGTCTTGCAAATTTTTCTCCTGTACCTCCCCTAAACCTGAATAGTTCATTTCTCATCGGCCCCTCTGTGTCTCTGCCTGGGCCCAGGCGCCCTCTTCTTTACCAGGACACTGACTGGCCTTTTCACCTCCACTCCTGCTCCTCCACGATCCACTCTCCACACACTGGATCCTACCCTTCAAAGCCTCTTTGGAGAAAGTCTGAATGCCTGAAGTGCTCAAGCATACTGAACTCCTCTAGGTTCCTGGGCAGTGCCAGACCTCCTCTGTGTCCTCACTTTATACATGCTTCTCCCTCTGCCTGGAACATTCCCGCCCCCCTGTTTCTCATTCTTTAGGTCTCAGCTTAGTCACCACCTCCCTGGGCCGCCTGCCACAGAACCCTCTCGGTGGGTTAGGTGCCCTGGCCACGTGTTCCTCCCTGGACAGGCCTTGCGTTTGATCATTTAATGTCTGTCGCTTCTGGGACAGATTGGCCCACACAGCCAGGGCACTGACTCGCACGCTGTGGCATCTCGGGACTGTCACCATCCCTGGAACACATGCAGCTCTAGGACAAAAGCCCTCAGACAAGAGGGGTCATCAGGGAAGTGCAGACCCTGCTCCGTGGCCTTGGGGCGCTGCGAGTCTGCTGGTGAGAAAGGCCCCCTGTCTACAGAAGATGCTTCTTCTGCCCCATGTTATGGCCCCCTTAGCCCCCTACTGATGACCACTGCCCCCACAGTGGACAATCCCCCCCGCACACTGCCAGCGTCCCACCTCAAGTGCCTAGATCACTCTCTGCTTTCTTGAACACCTTTGTGACAACCTCTGCTGATTAGGGACAAAAGGCAGTGGATAAATGCCCAACCTCCATCCTTCAGAGGGACAATTCTGAGAGGTTTCCCATATGGTTCCACAGAATTTTCCCACCTCTTTTCTATAAAACAGGTGGTCTTTGTCACCCCTAAGATGCCTTTATCTGGTGATCCTTTTGTAGTGATATTCTAAATTTATGTCCTGATTAAATATTAAATATATTGTTAATTTGGTCTCTATTACTATTTAAAACACACACACACACACACAGATGAGCATAGTGGAAAACCCAAAAAATACTAAGAGAATCAAGCAAAACGTGAACATCTTCCCCTCCCCAGAGGACGCCACAGTCAACAATTTGGATGTACACCTTCCTTAACCTGTTTTTTTCCTTTGCATATGTCATGGTGTATTTTTAGATTCCTGCAATTGCCATAACAAATTACCACAGACCTTATGTCTTAAAACAATGGAA